TGAGCCCACATTGAAGAGAAACCCAAAAGATCCAAGTGAAGAAGCAGACAAAGAATCCTGCTTGGATGGTTATCACTGCAAATCTACTGATGCTATTTATCTTGGATCTTATCTGTAACTTTTCAGTCATAGAAATGCATATGCTGTGGCTACATATCAGAGTAGAGGACACATAGGGCTGTGGGGAGGGTGAGTCACTTCCTCCAGGTTTGTTCTGGTGAATCTTGACAGGATTGGAGGTCAACGTTTTTACACTCGATTTCAGAACTCAAAGAAGAAATGTGTCATTTGACCTCAGCACAGAAACCAGATCAAAGAAAAGCCACAATAATTCTGCCCCCAAATCATCAATGTTGGTATGTTGCAGCCCTCCAGCCGAATCTTCATTTAGTTCCTATTGCCACTTGAGAAAAGGGGAAACATTGCCATTCACATCCACAAAATGCTAAAACCTGCTTAATATATTCCTTCTCCGCTTTCTTTCATTGTGAAATTAAATGACCTTTTAAAGAGTCTACATTAAAATCTTTAGTCCAGATTATTGCAGGTTTCCCTACAAAATACGCAGTCACTATACTTCATAGAAAATCCTGTGAATCGCTTCGAGACATCCTCCCAACGTGAAAGGCACTAAATAAAATGTAAGGGTTATTATTTTAAGTGAATGTTGTCTATTTTACCCTGAATGGTACAGTCTCTGATTTTCTATCTCTTTTTCTTGAAACCTCTGACACATTTCACAAAACACGAAATGTTACCTTATGTAATGTAATGCGATTCTCCCTTGTACATTAAAACAGGTTCAACTTTCAGATTAAAAGAATCGCTGACGTGACACAAGGGAATAAAAACACCTGGAATAGTACATCTCTTTATACAGAAATCAAGCGGGTGGTCAAGTGATCTTTCCCCACCCAACTATGCAATAATCACATTCTATGCAGGTCTTCATGACTTTACCCACACGAGCCAGCAACACCGAAAATTCATACCCCGTGTGGCCCCAAATCCTGGGGCTTCTGGATGCTCAGCTACACAAGACGTTAGAAATACAAAAATTACAATAAATGTGAGAAATAAATAAAAATTCAATGGACAAAAAAAACTAACAACGCTCTTAGACATTCTCTAATAATCCCTCAAGAAAAAAAAAACACAATAATAATTTGGTCACTTCAATCCACGACTGTTTGTGGGACACTGCTGTGCGCAACTGGCTGCCGCGTTTTGCCCACAAAATATACAGTCAATTCACTTTACAGTATATTTTGTGAAGCGCTTTGAGACGTCTCGAAGACGTGAAAAGCGCTATATCAAATTCAAGGATTATTGTCATTATTATTCTTAATCACCAGTGATCAACAAGAATTCAGCTAGATCTATATTATTGAGGACGAATTTCTTTCACAGAATGAGTAAACGTGTCAGACAAGTAATATAATATAATCCTTGCATTTGATATAGCGCTTTTCATGGTAGTAGATTGCTTGATCACACAGGTAGTCTTGTTTATTCCAAGTAAGTTCATCCTCACATTCAATTACGAATTTTCTCCATCTACAGGAAAGGGGGTGGGGGAAAAAGAGACCCACTGAGTCATGCAGGAATTTCCCCTGTCTTCATTCCTTCTCCCCACCTGTTTTGTCTGCAGGCAACAGAGAGCACGTTCCAGAGAAGCGCTCCAGGACGCTACCCCATGTGAAGGGCAAGTTGTAGTAGTAGTGGCTACAGAACCAATGAGAATACTGAAACAGGCGAACTACAAATAAGATGATGTTAAACAAGGACATGGGCTGATAACCGGCATATCTAGGGGTGTTTGCTCAGGATGTCAAAACAATGTGAGGCAGCAACAATCAAGGCAAAGCAGGATGCGAGGCTATATTGCTAAATCTATTGAGTTTAGATCCCCAGACGTCATCCTCGGGCTGGTCAGATCACATATTGAATACTGCACAGCTCTGGTTACCGCGACATAGGGGGGCTTCCCAGGCCCTAGAGGTAGTACAGAGAAGACCAACGAGGATGATCCCCAGTGTTAGAGGAATGAATAAGGGTAATCAACGACCAGGACAGGTTGCCAGTAAAGGCAGTAAAGCCTAGGACACAAGATTAATTTAAATAGCAAACCTTTTGCAATACGGGGGGTGGAGGGAAGAGAATGGTTGTTCTGGAGGGATGAGATTGGATGGACCAAGTGGCCGTCTTCATTCAAACCGATCTCGTAATATTGTTATATTTATAGAATTACATGGAATCACATGAATTTTACAGCATAAAAACAGGTCGTTTGGCCCAACTAGTCTGTGCTGATGTTTATACTCCATATGAGTTGCCACCCCTCCTAATCCCCTCTCTCTCAAATCCCCCGTTTTCCTTCTTTGTATCAGGTTTCCTCAAATAAATTGATGCTTTTACCACAGCTTCCAGTAGCACGCTCCACATTCTCACAACCTTGTGGGTTTCCCCAGATATAATAGCCACTCCAATAGTAACAGACCATTACACTGCGCTCTCTCCCAATGCTACAATATGGATCCCATACAATACCAGCTTAGTTCTTTTTCAGCAGGTTCAGGTACTTTCCTCCACATACAGGACTCTCAGACCAGGCTGATGGAAAGCGGCGTCGGTTAAGATGCCATCCTTCGGATGAGATGTTATACCAAGGTCCCTTATGTCTATTCAGGTAGATGTTAAAAACCTCACAGCACTGCTCAAAACAGAAAGGGAATTTCTTCCAGTGCCGTGGCCAGCCATCTCTCAGGTAAAAATTGGTCAGTCACTTCATGGGAACACTTTGTGGAACACTGCTGTGCCCGTCGACAAAATACAGTCGCTACACTTTACAGTGAATTCTATGAAGCACTTTGACGCATCCTCCCGAAGTGAAAGGCACTACATCAAATGCAAAGAATCTTATTTATTATAAAAAGTCACTGGGAATAATTCTGAGAAGTACATCAACATTTTGACATTCACATCACATCCTTTTGATCGGAAAAGTGCTACATAAATGTATATGTATTATTGTATGAAAATGGAAGTAAAATATTAGCACCATGATTTCCTGAGATAAGCAAAACTCAATGGAATCTGCCGCACAAATGCATAGGTCCAAAGACTGCATGATTCCTTCACCGAAACACGCAAAACTCATTCACACTCTGTGGCATGTGAAAAGTCAATAGAGCTACTAATTATTTTGTAAAAAAAACTAAAACTACTATACAAAAAATTGATTGAAAATTCCACAGGTTCAAAAAGTTTGAGAATCCATTTGTTCAGAATCAGATTTCAAGTTGAAATAACCCGACCCTTCCCCGCCCCCCAAACGCACACACAAAAAAAGTTATAATACCCACGTCCCTTTTGTGAATCAAGATCCCAGCACCATTGTGGCCAAAGACACTAAACGAAATAGGCAGAAACAGCAATAACATGGAATCAACTAACTAATATCAGCAGCATTTACAACCGGCGTATTGAACCCAAAATCAAGATTGGCAGTGATGAACCATTTGGAAGCCCTGACGGTTGTTGTATCAGATCTGGCCACCCGAGTAACAAGATATTCTTGTAAAAGACCTTTTATAAGCAACCTTAAAAACAGGTAAAGCTTTGAGAACCATGCCCTCCTTAAGTATATGAAAGTGGTCATTAAAGATGACTACTGTTGCCTCCGCCCAAACATTTTGAATAAACCAAGCTAAGAGGAAAACTGCAGAAAAGATTTATAGGAATGTACACTTCTAAGGAACAACGAGGCTGCCAAATTTCAATTTCTTCTCACTTTTGAAAGAACGAACAAAATTGCCAATTAGTCCCACCTACAGAAATTTGAGAGAATGTGCATCAAGTCTAAAATTAGAGGTTCCAGCTGCCCCAATTCTGCTTTGCCCAACGAGATGTCCCATTATCTATGCCTTCCATAGAACACCATTTTACCAGAGACGAGAAGCCATCAAAAGCTAAAGAAAGCATTGGTTTCATTACACCCTTAGTTTTAAACAGACAACTGTCAATTACAGATTAATTTTACACCACTGCTGGAGCAAGACGACTTTTAACACTGTTTTGGTTTGTTTGGCAATAAAATTGTTAAAAAATCAATCTCGATTTCACATTCGTTTTGGTTTGATAATAAACGAAGAATCGCATAGCATGAATCTTTTCTGGTTCTAATTGTGGTAATGATGGTGGGAAGATAAACAGATTAAACGAATGGCTACCAAATATTTTTAAAAAAATAATTATTTCACCACTTTGGGTTTCGGGGGTTGGGGGGGACCTTGAATTAGCTCCAAGGTCACAAGTTCAGCAACGGAATGGAGTTAGTCCTCTGTGGTGGTCTTGGCAGTCCAGTTCCTGAGCCAGGGGGGTCTGTAGTATTCCAGGGCACTGCTGATGACAGTCAGCCAGCCTGGCGCATCTGCAGGACTTGGAAGGACACGCCAGTCACTGCGGGCAGGGAATCTACCCACACACCACCTGTTACCCTGCAAGCCAAAGTCCTAAAGGGTATACTGGTCCAAGCTGGACAAGCAGCGGGAAAGTTTGCCAGACTGTGCTATCAATGGGGTTTTAACTGGTTATACTTCAGCAGTTACCCCAACGCACACTCCGGAGTCCCCAAGCCTTGGCCTCTTGCCAAACTGCGCCTAATACTTTTCAGAATTAGGTAAGCAGGATGTGTCCCTCCAGGGAGAGGGTGCACATTTCATTCCAACAACCTATCGCTGGGATTTCCATGTATAGGTGGGCTGCATGGAATTCTCATCTTGGTTTGAATACTCTTGGGCATGGTGATGGGTTTCCCCACACCCGGCTAACAAAACAAAAAGCAGAGAGCATTAACTAACCAACCACATTTGTGTGAAATATATAGCAACCACTACATGCAGTTAAATACTATTTCCCAATTAGTCAACTACGAAGTTTGCAAAGAATACATTTCCTTACATAAGAAATTTGGCAAATCAAACATTCAAAAGACTTACCAAAATCTACTCTTGTTAATATGCACTGCATTGGATGGTCCGTTGTGTGCCTTGTAGTTGTAGCCCCACTTTCATAACAAGAAGCGCATAGGTCGTAGTCGTAGCAAATTAAGCACTTATATCTGCGACCTCGAAAATTTCCTTTCAAACATGCATCACAGCTGACACCTGGAACACAAGGAATAACCGGATGAAATATTAATGCTTAGGTACAACAGTTTTCCCATTTCCCAAAAAGTCACATTATTGTGGTGGGTTTGAGCAGCTTTCAATTAAAATTGCCGGGAAGAAGCCTTTTTGTTTTTTGTGCAAGACCACCTGGCTATATCAAATGCAAAGATTCTTCTTAATTTTATTATTAGTAGTATTGGTTATTATGAAATCATAATCAAAACTAATAATAATAAAAAGTTCATACCATCATGAAATATTAAAGGCCACCATCCCATTTGTCTTATTAACCGCATTCTGCACCGGGGACAACATAGGGACCTGCCTGGTTCAGGTACATCTTACACTTTCCACAGTGGATGATCTCAATCCCAATATTTCCGAGCTAGGTGTGTTCCTCTTGAAACCAACAGCCCAAAGAAACCTCACTGAACATGATGGGACCTCAGTTAACATCTTATCACAAATCCAAGAGTTCTCTGACAGAACCACAGAGGTGATAAGAGGAAAATCAATGGAAAATCAATGGAACTGCAAACACACGCATTTGATAAAGTGCCACGTAAAAGATTGGCTAAAATTAAGGCCCATGGAGTTGAAAGCAATATTGTGCGATGGATAGAAAATTGGTTAGGCTACAGGAGGCAGGGACTTAATATAAAACAGGGCTCTTTATTGGGCAGGCAGTAATAAATTGTGTCCCCCAACTTTCACACTCCAAAATTAGTTATAATGGGGCCCTACCATATTAGCATATGACACAGAGTTTCCCCTTCTCATGAGTCAGAAAACACTCAGTTGTGTGGCTCGATTGTAATTTTTTTCCTGGAAGCCGGTCATACCAATACACAATACTTTCTGCCTCTGTGGAGATTTTGTCTTTTAACTTTTCTAAATAGTTAATCTCTCCCCCACCGACCTGAACTCAAGTTATTAAATAGGAATAAAGGCACGGATTATGCTTCAGAATTTATGTACATATCCTAAAATAATGAGGCACTGAATTTAAATTATTCAGAGTACAACTTCCAGTGTTCTTAGTCATCAACACTAAACCCTCATTCACCAATATCTTTCTCGACAAGTACAATCTTTAGGGAAAATAGGGAGCAATTTTAATGAAGCAAGACTGGGAAAAAGAAATGTAGCAGGAAAATGTCAAGCATGAAAATAAAACAAGATTAGTATTTTTTAGGGCGGCCTGTTGAAAATTTTCCAGGTCCTTAAATACCTGACAACTAATTTCTTATTGTAATAACAAATCACCAGTGCCCGCACAGGAATGGAACAAATTTTCTAGTCCCCCCCACCCATAAGATTAAAGAAATCGATCATTCCAGTTAATATTTTGACCTAGCTAACAAAATATTAACTATGTATAGTATGTGAGTGTGTACAAGAATAATAAATATTTTTTTTATTAGATATGGTATGCGCCTGTGTGTATCTGTGCGCATGTGTATGTCTGTCTGGGTGAGTGTGTTTGTGACTCTTGTGTGTCGGGAGAGGAGGTGAATGCACGTGTCTGTATATGTGTGTGTATAAAAATAAATGAATCTAAATAATAATAATAATAATAATAATAGTAAATTTGTCACTCAATCCACGACTGTTTGTTGGACACTGCTGTGCACAATTGGCTGCTTCATTTTGCCCACAAAACATACAGTCACTACACTTTACAGTATATTCTGTGAAGCGGTTTGATTCGCTTCGAAGACCTGATTCCAGACTTGAGTCTGCAATCTAAGACCCCAAAAAGCTCGACAGTACTCTCTTAAGAATCGTAGAATGAATTTAGGATGATTTGTTTTTGAAATTCAGGTTATTAAAGTGCATTCATCTTTAAAAGAAACATATAAATTTAAATTCTCAATAGCTATAGGTCATATGGAGCAATCCTTTTAAATAGTTTAATCCACAGATGTTGCTCCAATCCTAAACTCCCCACAAGAGCAAGCCTTTACAGTTCTAAATGTTATTCCTCAATTTGATTAGGATTGGCCTAATACCCCTTTTGTTCTTCAGCCTATGCAATTAAAAATGCAAACCACTTATAACCTAGTTATGCAACAAAACACGACAACTTTGTTCATCTAGTCACAAAAGAATAACAAGGGATCAAGATCCAGCTCCAAAAAGTGTTTGCAACGACTGTACCTGCGAACAAAACCATCTCAACCAGATTCCAGAATGCAGTGTGCTTTACGCCCCCACCACCCACCACGTATTGTGGGTCGACACCCGTCCACGAATACCAAAATGTTTTAGCAGAATCAAATTGCATGGCCAAACAAGAAGTCAATCCGTTCCAATTTCAAGACAACCCGTTCCGGTTTCTTCGCAGGTCAAGCAGGAGCAGTTACAGAAGCCAAATACTCTCTGTCCACGGGGGAAAAAAGTAGTTTAACAAAAAGCTGAAACTTCATTAATAGTCAGATGTAAAGCACCCTTAATCTAGTCTTGGGTAGATTCTAAAATTTGTACAATACTTTCTTTTAACTTCCAAGTCACAGAAAAACACGGGTTGGGATTTTATAGATCCCCGGCAACCATGGTATAAACCACTCGTGGTTATTGAAGCTGGATCAATCAAATTGTTTGAAAGGATAAGCAACTGAGCAGTACAGATATTAAAAGGGATGTGGAGGAAAACCTGGAAAGTAGGTTTAAGAAACAAACCAGGCAAATTATAAAATCAGGTAGCAGTGGCTCAGATACAATACAACTTCAGATGCATCTCTGATAATGTATTTCAGCCTGGACTGATCTCACAGTCCTGATGTGGGGCTTAAACCCAGAGGCTTCTGACCCAGCTTCAATTGCTACCAACTGAGCAAGACTGGTCATTATAAGGAAGATTAATAAGTCCGATGATCAGTGAATAGCAGTTCTCCTAAAACGCATGCTTCCAAGACTTTACTGTAGTTCACTCAAGTGATAAATCAGTGGTTTTAGCAGCTTGGAACTTTTGAAGATCACAAGAAAAACTGATGAACTGCTTTTCCCTCCATCTGGACTGGGAGTTCAGTCTAGGCTGAAACTCGATTGCAGCGCTGGGGAGCACTGCGTTATCAGAAGTGATGATACTGTACGCAGTACTCCAGGTGCAGCATGACTTCTGGGGATCTGATTTGGCAATTTAGCCGAGTTTGCTTTGTTTATTGACGCATCAGACTGTTTTGATATGGTGAACAATGAGTCAATTAACTTAAGGTATCTTTCAATTTCACTTTTGGGAAGTTCTGTCGATCCATAGGGTCCATGTGCCCCATTTTTATTTCTTATAACACGGTACCTTGCATTATCTGTATTTTAACTTCGTTTGGCAGTCAATCAGAAGTTGAATACAGCTTGGAATTCCGTAAAGCCTTTAATATCGTACCTCCTGCTGCTCTTCAATGAAGCTAAAGGTTGTTGAAGGACAAGTAATTATTGTGAAATACAGCACCTACATCCAAACAGTACTCAACCAGTAATGTTAGCCTAGATCAGGGTCGTCCAACTGGTGGCCCATGGGCCACATCCGGCCCAGGGGATGATTTCATCTGGCCGACAAAGCATTTCCAACTTCATTATTTTACTTCCCGACTGTGCCTCTCCTGAGACTCTGCCCCTCGATCCGAAACTCTTCACGCTAACTCCAGCCTCGTACAACCTCGTGAGAGGCAGTGTGGAGTAACCAGAAGAGAGTCGCAGCAGGGAGTAGTTTAAAAAGGTATTGATCCATATTTTGTAATTCTAAAACTACAGAACTATGAGGCTCAGTAAGAAACACAAAGTAAATGTTAAAATAGAAGACAATGGCGCTCTGGTTCAAGAGAAACATGTTCCAGGGTTATTATTTTGTTAATTGTTAGGGCTATTAAATTATGGGCTTTTTATTTCACTTAATCATTTTTTCTTTCACTTTCATTGTTTATTCTGAATTTAACGATTATTCTTGCATATATATATGTAGCTTATTGATAAAAGTATATTATTGTCCATTTTTATATTGTCTATTTAAACTTTGTACTATAACTAAAACGTAGTGAAATTAAGTAATAATTACACAATTTAAAACACAGGATTTCTATACAATTCTTAAAAGTTATGTTTTTGGAGGGGAAATAAAAATATTGCTTATGCGGTCTGCAGGTGTTTCTCAAATCCGGCCCTCAGCATCCAAACGGTTGGACCACCATGACCTGGACTACGAACTCAAGTTGCTTGAACAGACAACCTACCGACCCAGAGGCAAGATTCCTACCGACTGAGTCAAGCTAACACATCACACCATCTTGCCGAGGAGACCTAATTTGGGATCCAGCACACTTCACTAACCATCTAGAACAATGGGCAATAGGAAATTACAGTAGGAAATTACAGTAGGTATTTCCAAATGCAGTATTGTGACTGCAAGCTCAAGGGAAGACCTCACAAAATTGTTTGGGGGTGTTCAAACCCTCGGTCGTACTGATATCCAGCTTTCCTACCCTTCAATTACTGATCACTGTGCACCAAATCCAACCCTACAAACTGAAAAAAATAGGCAATCCCTCGATAATCAAATAAGATTGTTCCTCAGTGTTTAAACAAGACCCAAAAAAACAGGAGGGGATTCGAGTTTTAAGATTGGCCTCATCTTTGGTGGTCACTTAGGTCACTTTGTAGATCAATCCTAGAGACAGATTTTAGCTCAAATATGACACGAGAGGTAACCCAATTGATGGTGCAGGGGCAGCAGAATGACACACCTTCCTCTGTCTACTTATTTCTTCTCCTTGGCAGTCCTACTCAAAATCATTAACTTCGGGACAGAGTTCCTGGGAGTGGGGACAGATATGCTGAAAGCCCAACCATCAATGGCGGAGGATACAAAGCAGGTATCCACTGAGTGATGGAAACAACCAGGTTGGTACAGTTTGAGGTCACACAAGTAAGGTCGGGACCTCCAGGCGAGAATGAGGATTTGAACTCGATCTGCTGGGGGATGGGAGGAAAAAGGCTCGCGG